GCTCGTTCCTAAGCTTCTTCCAATGAGGGCAAGATGGGTCTCCAAAATTGATAAAACTCAAATAATTCAATAATGCAAATACTACATTTTAACAAGTCTTTATTTCATTCCACAGAGAAATCAAAAGATATAAAAGCGAAAAAAAAAACCTCAGAAGAACCTCATATTCAGACCCACAAACATAAAGCACCAAAAGAATCAATTAGCTAGAATGACATTGATATAGAAGTTGGCATTAGAATGTTTCACTGACATTCCAGTGAAATATATCTCTTTCACAGGATCAAACTTTTTCCAGACCCTCAGGACCATCCAGTGGTTTATATTCCTTCCTAAAGGTAGCCATACTGCAGTGGTATTCTGGAGCCAGCTCTAAGTTGCTCACAGAGAGATAATTACATTTTGAGTCTGAGCACCTGGATTGTAGAAATCAGTAAAGACTGCAAATCAGGACTTAATTTATTATTCGCTGATGAACTAGATTTCAGAAAATGTTTGAGAAAATAATGGGAGATTACATTTCAAATTGTTTCATGTACATATTTTTTCAGGAGAATTGGTGCTTTAGTGTTTATCAAATTATCTCTGTTTTATGGGTTGCAGTTTGAGGACTGCCATTAACCTTAAAAATATATGTTCCTGGAAATGCAGTGCCTTTTTTCTTTTTTCTTTCTTTAATATATTTATTTATCTATTCATCTATCTATTTATTTATTTATTTGTTTGTTTATTTATTGCCTTTTTTCTTAAGGTAATAAACTGTTAAAATTATGTAGCTGATATTCCTTTCTTGGAAATATTCACTACAATTGCTGTCTTGCACTTAGATGTGTGTGTATGGGAGCATCTAGGTGGTGCAGTGAATAGAGCACTTGGCTTGGAATCAAGAAGAGTCATCTTCATGGGTTCAAATTGAGCCTCAGTCACCTACTAGCTGTGTGTCCCTGGGCAAATCTCTTAACACTGTTTGCCTCAATTTCCTTATCTGTGAAATGAACTGGAGAAGGAAATGTGAAAACATTCCCATATCTTTGCCAAGAAAACCCCAAAATGAGGTCACAAAGAGTCAGACACAACTGAACAACAAGAAGAAGACAGTAAACACATACTATTCATTCCACATAAAAATCTTCTAAGATAGGGAATACTCTCAAGGCCCTTTAGACATGAGGCCAGTGAGATTGGGGCTTGCATCAGACTATACAACATCAAAGTATCTGAGACAATATGAACTCTGTCCTCTCCTAAATCCAAATCTGTGATACTTTCCAGTAACAAATGATGCCTTTAAAAAAAGTTTGGATTCCACTTCTCTGTGCAAAAGAAAAGTAGCCTGATTTGGGGTGTGGATCCCAGAGTGGGGAAGGTACAGATTGGATTTCCTCTCTTAGAAAAAAGATGATCCAGTTGAAATTGTTGTCCTCTCACAGCTTTCCTAAATGCATTCTTGACATCTTTGTTCCTAAGACTATAGACCAGAGGGTTCAACATGGGGATGATCATGGTGTAGAACACTGACACTATTTTGTCTGTGTCCATGCAATGGCTTGAGCTGGGCTGGAAGTACGTGAAGATGATTGTGCCATAAAATATGGAAACTGTTGTAAAATGGGAAGCACAAGTGGAGAAGGCTTTCTGGCGGCCTTCAGCAGAATGGATCTTCAGGATAGTGATGAAGATTAACAAATAAGAAGTAAAGATGACAAGAAATGGGAAAAAAGCATCGAGTGACACTAAGATAAATTCTGACTCAGTGATGTGAATATCAGAGCAAGAGAGAACTAGGAGAGGGGAAATATCACAGAAAAAGTGATGCACTATGTTGGACCTACAAAAGGAAAGGCTAAAAGTGTTGCCTGTAACTATGGAGGAGGACAGAAAGCCACATATGTAAGCACCACTGGCCAGATGTGCACAAACAGTTGATGTCATGGTGGTGGTGTAATGTAGAGGTTTGCAGATAGCTGCATGGCGATCATAGGCCATGGAGGCTAAGAGATAACTTTCAGTAACAGCAAAGGCCCCAATGAAGAACAACTGGGTAGCACATCCATTATAGGAGATAACCTTGTCCCCTCTAAGGAGTCCAGCCATCACCTTGGGAGTAATAGTTGAGGAGTAGCCAAAATCCACCAAAGAGAGGTTCCTGAGGAAAAAGTACATGGGAGTGTGAAGGCAGGAATCCAAGGAGATCAGAACTATTATCCCCAGGTTCCCTACCAGGGTGATGATGTAGATGAGGGTGAACATTATGAAGAGCAGAACCTGAAGCTCTGGGTCATCTGTTAATCCTGTAAGGATGAACTCATTCACTTCAGATCTGTTCTCCATGGATGTCATTTGAGAAGGACGTCAATCACCTGCAACAAAAGAGGAACCATCAGAAAAATCCACACTCTGCATGATGAATGACTACAAGACATAAAATATGATTCGAGACCTATCTTCTGTGAGGGCTAGATATAAGTAATTAAAGGAAAAAGAACATCTAGGTACTTGTCATAGCAGTTATTCTAGGTCCTCAAAATCCACTCATCCTTTTTTTCAGAGAAAGGAAGAGAGCGAGAGAGAGAGAGAGAGAGACACTCATGTATAACTTCTCACTTTGTTTAATCTACTAGAAATTTAACAATACCCAAATGGACATATTCCACTTCAGGAAAGGGCAGTGCCTTATTCTCTGGCAAAAATCAGCATAAAAGGGGGATTACCATTGGTAAGTGTTGGAGGACTAGACCTGTTTTTTTATGAATATGCTTCATTTCTGATAAAAAAAGAGAGAAAAGTGAAATAAAACAATTGAAAGATAATTCATATTTATAGAAAAGTTGAAAAACTGCGAGAAGGAAGAAGAGGTTCAAAGAAAGTTGGCCAAGAATTCATTGGGATCCTGCTTAGTCCTTGAATCATTGTGGCTTTAAGGTTGAAGCAGGGAACTGAAGTCACCAGTGTCTGAGTAGGAACAGCTGCCAATGGACACCAGTGGGAATCATCTGTGCCAAAGATAATTGGTGGATCACTTCACAATAAATGTATGATTTCTAAATTCGATTCCATCCCACAGCCTGTCTCTTTTTCAATTCTCCACCACTGCCACTGTGGAAATAGAAGGTGACCACAAACAGGGATATTTGGCCTTTCATTCATCGTATGGTTTTTTGAAATCACTAATTTTTGGTTAGTCTGTTTCACGATTGAACTAAAATCTCATCTACAGGAAGTCTTTCTTGATCCATTGATCTCAATACTGGTGCTTTCCCTCTTTTCATTTTCTGTAATATATCCTGGTTATATATCCTATTTGTAAACTGATATTTGTACATAATTTGTATGGTGTTTATACAGTCTTTGATGGCAGTGACTCGTTTTACCTTTCTTTGAATTTAAATGCTTATGATGGTGCTTGACACATAGTAGACCCTTAATAAATGTCTAGTGACTCACCTATTGGCCAGTGGTAAACTTCAATGTCTGAAGTAAGCTAGGTTGGCCTGTAGGCATCAGAAAACTATGTAGGACATTCCCAGGTACCACTTTAAGCCTTTATAGCTTGAGAGGACCTGCCACAGTTGTGCATCAATCAGTCTTAGAGTACTTTGTTTCATCTCTCCAACCATAAGTTACTACAAGTTTTCACACATATTATATATGTGTGTATGTTTATATGTATATATTTACTTTATTATATGTCTGCATGTACTCACACATATGGGTGTATATAGATGCATATTATATATATATATATATGTGTGTGTGTGTGTGTGTGTGTGTGTGTGTGTGTGTGTGTGTATCAACCTGAAGCAGAGAATTTCAAAGCAGTATATTTCCTCTCAGCTCTCATCTACTTCAATTCACATGTGAACAGGAGTCACCTCTGCAAAAGCTTGCCATAGCAAATGAAAGAGTGGAAAAGGGGAAGAACTGGTTAAGCAGGAAGAATGACCAATAAGAGATATATACTTCTAGCAGCATATTGGGGGACCTACAGAATTAAGCCTCACATGCATGATTAACTAGAATCTCTAACACATGAAAAAAATCTGGCTGCCAAGGTACCATTTAGACTTTAGGGATAGGACTCAAACTAGAATTTGGTTCTGCAAAGGTTGTCCTCTTATTTTAATGAAATAGGATAAGTTACAGCATGCCATTATAAAATTTTTAAACTGAGAAAATATACTGATATAAAGAAATCCAGGAATCACAGTGGGAAAACTTGGTGGAAAGCTTTTATGATGTTATCAGTATATTACTGATGGGAGTCTTCAATTATCTGGGCATCTGCCAGAATGGTCTCTCTGATTCTGTCTCTCTTTTTCTCAATGGCATTTTCTGTCTCTCTATCTGTCTCTCAGTATCTCTGTATCTCTGCATATTTGTCTCTGTCTCTCTCTGTCTCTGTTTCCTTTTTTCTGTCTGCCTGCTTTTCCATGTTTCTCTCTCTCTGTCTCTTCCCTCAAAGAACAATAATTAAATTTCTTGATTAATATGATATTTTAATACATCAAAATCACAAAATGAAGGGAAAAATATGAGAAAATTCCATCCTACATTTGATTCCTCTAAAACTTGAAAAATTTTAAGTAAAGCCAAAAAAAAAACCCTGGGAATGTTATAAAAGAAGAGGGAAAGTAAATAAATCATCCCAAAGGTTAAGATGGACAAAGAATGGAAAACTAGCAACTGTCAGAAATGCACATTATGCTCAGGGAGAACCAATACCACGCATTTCAGAGCAGGAAGAAAGCAGGATCCTATTGATTAATTTTATAGAGAGTTCAAACTTGAAGGGATAGAAAGATCTCAAGAGTGAAATTTTCAAGATACAAGACAAATTAACAATTAGGTAGACACACATATGAAAAATAAATTTGCAGAAATGAAAAAAAAACATGGTGGTAACCAAAGATGAATGCAAAAGCAGATCCTATCTTATAATTATCGAGTCAGAGAAGTGCCAGGACTTAGTCTGAACTGCAGGAAGCCTAGTCTAACTACTTTTCTAGGTAAAGACTAAAAAATGTGAGTATTTTTATTGAAAAATTGGGCTTTTGGGGAAACAAATTATAATCAAATTAGGAACTGGACTGATTCTCAAGACTCATGAGACAAGTACAATGAATGACAACCAAAGACAGAGCTGCCCAGTTTGTACTTTTTTTTTCTATTTTCTCTGACAAAGAGAATGATCTTTGGATTTAGAAAGACAGGAAAACTAAGAGTTGATAACGAGAAAAATGAGAACTAGAACCTATAGTAATGGAAATAAGGAAGAAGCATTTCTATATCATCGATTATGTGCCAGACATTGGGCTACACTTCATAAATATTATCTTATTTGATTCTCACAACAACCTTGTGAGGAAGGTGGTGTTATTATCTCCATTTTAAAGCTGAGGAAACTGAGGTAAAGCAGGGCTGAGTAATTTGCCCAAGGACATTCCTTAAGTGCCTGTGACTTGATTTGAATTCAGGACTTCCTTTCTCCAGTACCAATGTTTTATCCACTCTACCAGAGTTGCTTCTTTAAAATTTGTAGAGTATTTAAATACATTGAATGATTTGGTCCCCACTACAACTTTGTGACTTACATGGCAAACAAGAAAACTAATCTGTCTTGACACACTGTCCAGGCATACCGTGGTTCCTCTCTAGTCTACATTTGGGGCAACATGTTCAGTCGTGGATTCCAGACTTTGGGAAGGGTGTAGATAGGCTAAAGATTCTCAAGAGGAGTTTAGCCATCACGGAGAAGGACTTTGCAATCTTGCCATATTAGGATTGGTGGAAGGAACTGAGAGTGTTTGGTGTAGAAAAAATAAAAGATGTGTGTCAGTGCAGGGGTTTGGATTGGTATCTTCAGGTATCTCCAAGACTGACATATGGAGGAGGAATTTGGTTTGTCTTATTTGTACCCAAAGGGAATACCCAGAAGAAAAGCTTAGAAATTAGAAAGAAAAAAAAACACTAAGGTTTGATTTAAGGAAAAGATTCTAAAAATGCTGCTATTCAGAAGTGGAAGGGGGTATCTTAACATGTACTGGATTTCCCCTCACTTAAAGTCTTGAAGGCAGGGCTAATTAACATCTTGTTCAACATGCTGCTGCCAGAGACACACAGACACACATTTTACATGTACATGTATATGTGTATTTATGTATATGTGTGTGTGTCTCTGTCTAAATGTATGTGTGAGTATAAATACATATATATATGTATGTATGTATGTATTTGTTTGTATACACACATACACACATCCACCCACACATACACCCCCCCACACACATATTAGAGGAGTGGAGAAAGAGATAGAAAAGGTTTATTTCTCATCTTATGGAAACATTTCACTCCTAACTCTTATTACTGTCACCGTGATCATGGACAAGTCACCTCACCTCACAGCTGAACTTCACTCATAAATCAATAAAGGATAAAAGTAATGACATCTACCTCATAGGGTTTTCTGAGACGATCTGTAAGACGTTTTGAAAATCTTAAAGCTCTATAAAAGAGTTATCTACTGGTACTTTAATTAACACTACTATTACTCTTCGTACTACCTTTCCCAAATCCCTGAAGATATTTGACTCTGAAGTTATCAAGGACCTCAGTTTGCTCATTGATAAAGAAAAGATGTTAGACTAGATGATCTTTGAGATCCTTTTAATCTCTGAATCAATGATCCTATGTCACTTTTAACCTGAATTAATTTTAAAGATTTCCATTAGTCTTCATAATATCACTGTGAAAGAGCTTTTATTCTAATGTGGTTAATGTGAGATTGACAGAGGTAAGGAGAGAAAATGAATAGAACTTATCCCATAGACTTTTACAGGAGTAGAAAAAACTCTATTTTTACACCTAACTACAATTAAAGATTTTCCTTTAATGTGATAGGAAAAATATAAAATGGAATACGCACAACCCACTTAGAGTCAAAATTTATAGTAATGTTTATGTCATACATGGCATGTGTGATTATTTTTTAATCCATACTATTGAATAAAATGTATACACACACACACACACATATATATATACACACACACATATACCAATCCATACTATTGAATCAAATATATATTTGTGTACGTATATATACATAAATATACACACACACACATATATACATACACACACAGACACACACACATATATGTATATATATGTACATATACATATATACACATACATACATACATACATACATACATAGTCTAGGACAATCCATTTCACTGATGTACTCAAGGTTGGGTCCTCTTGAGTTCCCATTTCTAGAGAGGATCCATTTAGGTTCCCAGGATTGACAAGGTGATTTGTTTTCTACTCACAAACTCCCA